TTGCAAGCAAAACGGTCAGTCCATCGTTACGTACTTTGGAAAATTAAAAACCATATGGGACGAACTCGGCGATCATGAAAAAATCCCCGCTTGCAAGTGCCATGAAAAAATCCCCGCTTGCAAAGCGCTTGCCATCCAACGCGACAAAGAAAAGGTTCACCAATTTCTAATGGGATTGGATAACGAAGGATATGGGAGTCTACGATCTAACATCATTGCCACAGAACCCTTGCCACCACTGAATCGCGTATACTCCACCATCATCCAGCAGGAAGGGGTCTTGAAGACTACTCAAGAAGAGGAACGTAACCCGGTGGGCTTTGTCGTCACCTCCAAATTTGACCGTGACGCAACTAAGGATCTAAAATGCAAACATTGTGGGTTGAGCGGACACAAGAAGAGTGGTTGCTTTCAACTCGTTGGATATCCTGAATGGTGGGGAGATCGCCCACGTGTCCTGAACCCGGGACGAGGTAGTGGCCGCGGCAACAACACTGGGGGACGGCGCGGCGGCAGGGGGGGCAACGCCGGCCGAGGTAACCGCGGCGGAGCTGGTGGCGGTCCAGCAAGCGGACCGGCGGCACACACGGCTCAGGCCAACGCAACGGATGGGGGACGTGCGCTCCATCAACCGAATCTCCCTTCTCTCACAACCAATCAATGGAATGCACTTATGGGACTCTTAAACGAGAAGGATTCGGGTATGGAAAGTAAATTTTCAGGTATGACTAACACTTCTTGGATCATTGATAGTGGAGCCAGTCAACATATGACCGGTGATAAGAAGTGTCTTGAAAATTTGGAAGCAATAAAACCTTGCTCAGTTGGCCTACCGAATGGAGATTGTGCAATAGCCAACCAAAAGGGGGTGTGATTGTGGATAATTTGATCACCTTAGAAAATGTTTTGCTAGTTCCTCAACTCAATTGCAATCTTATATCTGTCTCACAACTTCTTGAGAAAAAGAATTTAATTGTCAAGTTTAATAATAAAATTTGTATTATACAGGACTATATCTCGAAGATGGTGATTGGAATGGGTGAGCAGGCTGAAGGACTATATTATCTCAAGAAAGGTGTGAAGGACAAAGTCTGCACTGTGAAGGAGGCGAAGGATCTGGACATTTGGCACAAGCGCTTGGGTCATCCCTCTTACACCACTGTCAACACTTTTCTCCATTTACCCAAAAATACCAATATCCCTGATTCCCCTTGTGATGTGTGTTTTCGTTCAAAACAATGTCGTGACTCTTTTCCAATTAGTCTGAATAAATCTATTACTCCTTTTTCCTTGATTCACTGTGATTTATGGGGTGGGTACCGTACTCCGTCTCGCACTGGGGCTAGATATTTCTTAACTATTGTTGATGATTTTTCTCGGGCAACTTGGGTGTATCTATTAAATCATAAATATGAAGCTCCTACTGTCTTGCGTAGTTTCTTTTCCATGATTGAGCGACAATTCAATAAACAAGTGAAAATTGTACGAAGTGACAATGGTACAGAGTTCACTTGTTTAAAATCTTTCTTTGAGAGTCATGGGATTATTTTTGAATCCTCTTGCGTCGGTACCCCACAACAAAATGGTCGAGTCGAACGAAAACACCGTCACATTCTCAACATTGCTAGAGCCCTTCGCTTCCAAGCCAACCTACCCCTTAAATTCTGGGGTGATTGTATTCTCACCGCTGCCTATCTAATTAACCGAACACCCTCTGAGCTACACATATGAAAGATCTTGGTCTCTCTGATTGCTTCCATATGAAAGATCTTGGTCTTTTAAAATATTTTTTGGGCGTAGAGGTTGCTCGAAATTCGAAAGGGATATTCATCTGCCAGCGCAAATATGCTCTTGATATACTTTGTGAAACTGGATTTCTGGGTGCTCGACCGGCTTCTACTCCTCTTCCTCAGAACCAACGACTGGCTCTAGCACGTGGCCCACTTCTCACTAATCCAGAACGTTATCGCAGACTTGTAGGGCGCCTCATCTATCTCACGATCAGTCGTCCTGACTTGGCATATGCAGTTCATGTGTTGTCTCAATTCATGGGGGAGCCGCGTCAGGAACACTGGGACGGTGCGACCCAGGTTCTACGGTACATCAAGGCCTGTCCCGGGCAAGGATTGTTTCTTCCAGTACAGAGTGATCTTACCCTTAAAGCTTTCTGTGACTCTG